CCTACACAATTAACTGTTCATTACCCCGATGAATTGGAAGTGCTCCCAGCCTGGTGAGAAGAGTGATAAAATATACTGTTGCTTGAAGTCTCCCTTTATTTAAGGCTGAAAAGTTGGCCCGACAGAGAGGCTGGGAACACAGCACTGTGCAAGCAGAGCGGTGTGATTTCCACGGCCAGGTACGTGCCTGTGAAACACTCAGCACCGTGTCTCACTGGTCTCCCTTTGGCTGGAGCCTCAAACTGAGATGAGGTCCTTCCTCCAGCTCTGTACAGAGGTGCTGTCCCAACCCTCTGGACCTCTTCTGCCACAACATAATGCCACTGCTGTGGGTGACACATGTCACTCTTGCTTATAGTTCCCACCCTGAAAGACCTCAACCACCGAGTGGCCATGATCTCTGCCACAGTGTTGTCTCACCTGGCCCAGCAAGCTGTAGTCCAGATCCGTTCTCAGCTCCACTCCTCCGCTGTTGCTCAGAGGGGGCAGCCAGTGCTGGATCATCCCCCGCCGTGCGTCTTTACTTGGGAGGTCAACCAAAATCCTCTTCTCCAGCCGTCTCAGCATGGCAGGATCTAACTCCCTGCAAGCAAAGGAGGAGAGGAATCATCTCAGTGTGTCTCGTTACAGAGACACAGCTTTGACAGCAAGCTCTTCCATGCAGGGACTGACATTTTTGAACCTCACCTGTAACTGTGACAACCTGGTTTTGAAAAAAAAAAGAAAAAAGGATTAATTATCTAGCGTATTCCTGTTCAGCGTGTTAGCAATATGCTGGCTTGTGACAATGAGGCCTAACAATAACAATCAGAAGTTGTAGTTATGTTCCCTGGCTCTGGTACTCATCTGCAGCATGTCTCATCAGCAATAACCTCTCCCTTTCTCCCTTTGCTGTTAAGAAGACACTACAAATTGTCTGTCTGGGGCCCCGTCAGGACTAATCAATTGCTACTTTGTAAGGGATGCTTTATAGGTACGAAACACAGACTGAAGGTCTTGGATGCGAGGGCCACGCTTATGGCAGAACAAAAACCAAAATGTTGATCTGAGATTGCTCCTCCAATACAAATTATAAATAATACAGCCACAATGGAAAACATCCTTGTAAAAAGGATTATGTGAAGGGTGGACAGGCTGGATAAATGTGCCAGTGAGCCCAAAACAATGATGCTGTCAACATCAACACTGATAAAGGTGTTTTGCCTGAAAAAAAAAAAAAAACAGAAAAGGGTGGAATACAAAAGATTGGGACTACTCTTCATTTTTACTTGCTTCTGGTGCACAAAGGAAGCTTGAAAGAAAAATGAAATGTTTATTTCTGTTCCTTTCTCAATGTGTTTCATCACCATCAAGAAATAGTCCTTCTTGCCAGTGCCACCGATTCCATCGAGTATCTGGAGTCCTGGTACACCTGGCACACCAGCTCCTCTTGGACACGCATCCAAACAGGTCATTTTAATCTATTTTTTTCCCAAGTGCTTTTCAGTTGTTTGCATCTAACGGTAACACAACCAAACAACTGAACACAAATTTCTACTCCATCCCTTGTCACTTGTCTAATGGGAACAGTCTACAAAGACTGCACTTATCCATTCAATTTTCAAGAAGAAATAGCTGCTACAAAATATTTACTCTCCAGTAAGTCTCTGGTGCCTTCCAGGAGCTGCTCTGAGCTATTATCCTTCCAAGTGCTGTACCAATCTTTCTCTACTGGCCCCGTTCAGTCACAGACTTGTTATTTCAGTTTAAAATATAATTCAGTCCTCATACCTGCCAAGAAACTCTCATCAAGGGGAAACTCACTTCAGTGTGTGCTGTGCAGACAGAAAAACAGGAGCCCTAAGCACCATTTCCACCCTCGTCGGCTGAGCAGAAAGAGCCAGCTGTCGGGAGGATTGTGCCTGCAATCTGGGACCATAGGTACACTTAAATATATCTGCCTCTACCTTTCTTGATTTCCTGAGTGAAGTCCTTTTGCCAGAAAAGTCAACATTCAAGCAACGCTTCTTGTGTGCTACTCTTCATTTACAGGGAGCTCAAAGGCAGCTCAAGACAGATCTGTAGCACACCAACAGAGCTTATTTTGTTCAGCTCTGGGGCCCCCAACACAAGAAAGACATGGAGCTGCTGGAGCGGGTCCAGAGGAGGCCGCGAAGATGATCCGAGGGCTGGAGCACCTCTGCTATGGAGACAGGCTAAGAGAGTTGCGGATGCTCAGCCTGGAGAAGACAAGGCTCCAAGGTGAGACCTTCTAGCAGCCTTCCAGTACTGAAAGGGGATACAAGAAAGCTGGAGAGGGGCTTTTTGCAAGGGCGTGTAGTGATAGGACAAGGGGCAATGGCTTTAAACTGAAAGAGGGCAGATTTAGATTACATCCAAGGAAGAACTTCACTGTGAGGGTGGTGAAGCACTGGCACAAGTTGCCCAGAGAAGCTGTGGCTGCCCCATCCCTGGAAGTGTTCAAGGCCAGGTTGGACGGGGCTTTGGGCAACCTGGTGTAGTGGAGGGTGTCCCTGCCCACGGCAGGGGGATTGGAACTGGATGATCTTTGAGGCTCTTTCCAACCCAAACCATTCCATGATTCTATGATTAGAAAACCAGATCAATAGGAACTCAGAGGACAACAGGAATTCACTCAGATCCATCCCAGTGCTTCTAATCAAGGCCTCAGAAGTAAATACTAGAGTTTGCTAATCAATGGCTGTTGGTAAAGTGATCTTATTATTAGTATTTTTAGGCTGTTTAAGATGTTGTCCAACATTCAGTGCAACATCTCTTGCACAAGGTCCCACCTGGACTGGACAGAAGTGGGGACACTTTTGTCCCCACTGTCCTTCCAAATGTATTTTTCAGCTCAACTTCTCCTCAAAACTGTTTTGCTTGGCTGGAAATAACTACTCTCTGGCTGACCAGCCCCTTGGCTGTTATTTACCCATATTACCATCCTTTGCATAAACAGAGCAGAAGTCCTCAAGGTTTCAGAGGTGCCCATGCAGGTACCCTAAACCACCCTTGCAGGCAAAGGACAACCACAGCCAGAGCCTCTGCAAATACCCTATGAATCCTCCAAATGATGACGTTTTTCCATCACTCCTCCTGCTTCAGATCACTCCTGGGATGTTCCCCAAGATCACGGTTTCATGAGCTCCCTAGTCATGTTCTGTAAATAAGGCTGCTGATACACAGAAATTGCTCTATTTATCCAGAAAGGTTACCGTGACCCTGCTTATTGGCAAAAGAGGAAAATAAAGCCATAATGTTTTTGTTATCTGAACTGTTTAGGTTGTTTGCTAAATTGTTTTGTTAGTGATCAAATGCAAGGTTAAGTGACATTAACCAGAACAGAATAATAAGCACTGAGCCAACCAAAATATTCTCTGAAATAATAGCCAATAAAAGTATTAAGAAATGCTCATGAAAAGATAAAAAAAGTTGTAGAGGACCTATAAAACAGGGTGACTTTTTTGAGCTCCTCCAGGTTGACATCACAAGGCATCACGCCATGTTATCACTCCTAAATTTCTTGAAGATAACCAAGTCACCTATTTTTATTTCCCGAAGGAAGAAGAGTAACAAACGTGTTTTAGGCAGAAACTCAGAGACCTGGAGACTGATGGTGGAGCAGAGATGCATCTGCAGTCCATGGCAAAGGACTCCATGCCAGAGCGGGTGGCTGCACCCTAAGATGTTGCGACTCTACAGGGAAAGCCCGTGCTGGAGCAATCTGATGGGTAAGGATTGCATCCTGCGGGAAGGACTCACGTTGGAGAAGTTCTTGGAGGACTGTCTCCTGTGAGGAGGGGCCCCACGCTGGAGCAGTGGAAGTGTAAAGACTCCTCCCCCTTAAGAAAGGAGCAGCAGAAACAGCATGTGACAAACTGACCTGTAATCGCCCCATTCCCCATCCCCCTGCGCCGCTGGACGGGGAGGAGGGAGAGCCGGGAAGAAAGGAGGGGTGGGGGGAAGGTGTTTTTATGGTCTGGCTTTGTTTCTTGTTATCCTCTCTCAAGTAACTCGTAATGAATTAAATTGATTTATCCCCAAGCCGAGTCTGTTTTGACGGGGACTCCCTCTTCTTATTTCGACCCCTGAGCCTTTTGTTATGTTTTTCTCCTCTCCATCCCAAGGAGGAGTGAGCAAGTGGCTGGGTGGTGCTTCGTTGCTGCCTGGGGCCACACGACAACATTACGGACACCGTCCTTGTTCTCCTTCTTTGCTCTCTTCCTCCATACGCACTGTGCACAGCTGAGAGCGAAGGAAAAGGCCACTACAGGGTAATCTTGGATCTGATTTGGATTTCACAACCCACCGCTTCCTGAGCTCACCTTGGCCATGTGCTCGTGCCTCTGATAGGACTCGTCTCTGAAAGAAGGGAAGAGTCTATCAGCCTGCACCAAAGCTTCACCCGCTCTGAGGCTGGGGAGGGAGAAGAAAGCAGCACTGCAATGGAAGTTGAATTAAATGCACCAATACATTAGGAAACATTTGCTACGTGGTTAAGGATCTCTTTATTTCCTCACTAACGAGGCCTTTATTTTATTTAATTATGTTGAATCATTTCAATAAGTAATTGATGAGTAGCAGGAAGCGAGGCTGGGCAGCAAGCACTGGCAGAAGAGGAAGATCAATAGCCACAGTGTAAAGAGCCTTGTTTAGGCTTCTTTTCATTCATCTAAAAGCAGCTTGGTACTAATTTTTTTCGTGATCAATAAATATCCAAGTTAAACAAATCTCTTGAAATCCAGCTTAATACCAAATGTTCTCAAGAACACAGGGCTGTGCTGTGAAGCCACAACCTCGGACTGTAGTACTAGGTATTTTGAAAATTTGTTATGAAATATCCCTAAGCAGCTGAAGTCCAGGTCTTACAGGAGGACTGGATGTTGCCTAAAACACATAAAAGTAATCTGTAAACATATAGTTGAGATCTTAAAAGGGGTTCAAACTCGGCCGACCTCTCTGGAAGCAGACACTCCCAAATCCCTTGAGGCTGTGAGCTTCAGTGATGATGTAAGATGCTCTTGGCTTTCACTAGCTTTCCATCCCCCTAAAACACCTTTCCAAGCGCATCCTCAGCCACATCTTAAAGCATATTCTCTGCAGTAGGCACATTTCTGCCAGACAGCTTAGTCATTACACTCAAAGGTTGGATTTGCTGAAGGGAGGGCAAAACCCAACCTGCCCATGAGCAATGTTGAAAAAGTCCCAAAGGAAATTCTAAGCTCTCAGGTATAAAACATTCAAAAGCGAGAGCTGACCTTTCACAATGTCTCAGCTGCCACCCCGGTATCAACACAGATTGCCAGCTTTCTGTGGGAGCAGTTCCCTCAAAATAGAAATCTTGTCATTTTTGATCCACCTTAAAAAACAGATGTGCCACTTCTGATGTTTCAAAGAAGCAATTTTGCAGAAATTGGCACTTCAGAATTGCAAAATGATTCAAAATCAAACGTGTAAAACACTCAGCACTGTATTCTGTAATTTTTGCATGACTTTCCAGAGAGAGTTGCTCCGTTGCATCAGGCAGACACGTTAACAAGACACATACAGAAATCTCTTTCTGCCACAGCATGCAGGGAGAGGTCAGCCTCACACTTAAATTAACACATCTCCAAGATCCCTAGATCCAGCACCAGCCACACAGCAACCTTCAGACCAGTTGCTACCTCTGAACTCTTCCTCAGCAGGTTTCAAACACCCAGTTTTTCCTTTCAAACCAGCGTAGAAAGACATGGACCCTGTAAAGACATCTGATCTTTTTTAACACCACCATGCTGTGGCATGACATATGAAGCTTAGCTACTCACAGGATAATTTAAGAGACCATGGGAAGGTGCAATGCACTGCTCTGAGTTTCTCCTTCTAAAAGGGTAACGATACTACAATAATATAAACATTTATACTGTGTTACTAATGAACCATAAAGAGGGAAATGGATTATTAATGTATTAATTATCTTTCCAACCTAACTGTTCACACACACAGGAGCTATTTATTTTTCAGGATTTTCTTAAACAGCTGGAACATAATTAAATCAAATTCTGTTCAGTTCCTTTCATGTCGATACTGTAACACAAAATGGGGTAGATTTTGTATTGATTTAAATTCGTGAGTTTGTCCAAGCCATAAATCCCCCAAATCGACACACACACTCCATTATTACAGCTATAATGGCCAGCAATAGCATTGTACTCACATCTTTGGGCCAGGGTAAGAACCAGCCTAACTTGTACATCTGATTTCTACATAAATTTTAGGTGCCCACACAGCCGTTCTCCTAGTTGAAGACCCTGAAAGCCGTGGGCAAGCCACAGAGACAGGCTGATGAAAGCCTCTGAATGTGTTGCCTCTTTGGCACTTGAATTTCAGCAGGTAAGATTTCTGCCTGGTGGCTTTCAGAAGCATCCTTCCTCGACTGCATGGGAAACATAAGGTTTTGCATTAGGAAAGAAAACGTAGAGGGAAAGACAGGCTTGCAGATGGAGGTGGACTGGATCTCTTCCTGTAATGGACAGGAACTCCAGCCTTTATGTCAGAGAACTGTGTAATTCTCAAGTGAGTTCTTAGGTATTTATTTTAATTTATCTAATTTTAATGAGGAATATTGAGGGGTAGCACACCACTTGTTTTCAGGCAGTAACTATGCCTCTATGCCTGCCTTAGAAGACCACTCCCCTTAGGCTTTCTTACATTCTTATGGTACTGAAGATTAGGCCCCTGCTTTGATTTAAAGCATCACAGAATGGCTGAGGATGGAAGGCATCTCTTGGAGACCATTTAGTCTGAGCCCCTGCTCAAATCGGGGTCAGCCAGAGCAGGTTGCTCAGGGTTACATCCAGAGCAGGTTTTGAGCATCTCCAAGGATGGAGACTCCACAACCTATGCTAGTGTTTGATCACCTGCACTTGAGCTTTCATGAGATTCTGGTGGGCTCATTCCTCCAGCCTGTCGAGGTCCCTCTGAATGGCAGCATGACCCTCCGCTCTATCAGCTACTCCTCCCACTTTTGTATCATCTGCAGACTCGCTGATGGTGAACTGTCCCATTGTCCAAGTCATCGATGAAGATGTTGAACAGAGCTGACCCCTCTGGGTCTCTCAATTGCTCTGAATTCCTACATCCGTCGTTTCACTGTTGACAGTCTCAGAGCAGAGGAAACCTGGCTTCTACCTTAGGTGCCAAAATCATGTGGTGTGAACACTGCCCACAAAGTTCATGAAAAATGATGGACTGGGGTAAGAAACCCCTTTGTTCATCATGCAGGAAATACCGTATGGCAGAGCTACCCACAGAGCCATCAAGACTCGGGGACCCACATCCTCCTGCATCTCTGGACTTGGGCTTCTCAGCACCAACATGTTTTGAAATGGGCCAGACTTACGGGCCACATGGGACTGATTGAAAATATTACCTGTGGTCCTCAATTCAGAGGCACCAACACCACTTCTGTTGTTTAACTCTCCTTGCCTGTTGCCTTGGCCTTTCAGACAGGCCTGCCAAAAAGAGGGGTAAGCTGATGAAAGGAATAAATCATTCCCACACACTTTGTGAGAGAACATGAGGTGGTGCGACACGACTGAGAAGTGCATTCATATGTTACAGCAAATAAAAAATGCACTGGAAGCTGATGCTTTTCTGTAAGTACTCAAAAGCAAGGAGCTGTCATTCAAACTTGAACGGTCTCTACGGCCAGCAACAGCCTGCTGAGCACAGCCCAGAGCCCTCCAGTCACACAGAGGGGGTTCTCCAACGTGTCTCCCTATGGCAGCCCTCATGAGAATCAGCCAAAACCCAGTAATCATGAAAAACAATCCAGGAGTGAAGCCTGTGGTTTTGTGGGTGCAGAGCCCCCTCTTGCTCCCGGCTGGTTTCGGGCACATGAGCCTCATGTGGACAACGTGCCTTTCAGCCAAATTTCAAGTATTGCCACTTGAAATGCTGCCGAGCCGCTGCTTATACAAGGTGTATTCCTAGGAACACTTGCCACTGGCTCCACCAAACGTTTCAGAGACCACAGTTTGAAGTTCCCTGGAAACAGGGCTGCTGTCTTCTCCTTTTTGGACTCCCAGCTTGACCACCTCCACACGTGAGAGGTGAACAGCCCCCCTGAGGTCCGCGTGCCTTTAGGGACATGGATATCAAGACAGACCTCAGTGCTTTGATGATCAGTAAACTGCAGAAACATCAGGCATTCAGTCTGCCCCCAGCAGATACCTTTTATTTCTCTGCTTCATGTAGACTTCAGGGAGTGGAGTAAGCATGGGAGAAAACCCTTCTTATGCCTAACTCATCTTTTTTGCAGGTATCTGCCTCACCAAACAGACAATTTCCGCAGTTTACTTTGTTGAGGTTCTCCTC